CTTGTGTATCAACCTGATTATGAGTGAGTGAGTATGGTTTTACGCCGCTCTTAGCAATATTCCAGCAATATCACGGCGGGGGACACCGGAAATGGGCTTCACATATTGTACCCATGTCGGGAATCGAACCCGGGTCTTCGGCGTGACGAGCGAACGCTTTAACCACTAGGCTACCCGACCGCCCCAACAACCTGATTATGATCATTAGTTTGTCGTGACGTTGGTGTTCAATGCCCATGACTCTGTCACACTGAATTATCCTCACACGTTTTAGTGGCACGTGGTTTCGCTTAATTGTTACCTTCTAGACAGTCGGGGCGGTGGGGTAGTCTAGTGGTTAAAGCGTTCGCTCGTCACGACGAAGACCCGGGTTCGATTCCCGACATTGGTACAATATGTGAAGCCCACATGTGGTGTCCCCCCGCCGTGATATTGCTGGAATTTTGCAAAAAGCGGCGTAAAACCATACTCACCACTCACTCACTCTAGACAGTCAATCATACATTGAAGCGGTACGATGATTGTGTACCAGTTTGAATTTATGATGGTAGTTTGGTATCTTCTTGCCAAAATCATGTGTAACCGTACGTAAGTAATGAATCAAGATTTCCATAATCCTCTTGATACCCTCCAGACAATATCGTGACTCTGTCCAAATTCAGGCTACCAAAGACAAGCAGCAAAGAGCAATCAAACTACGTAATATGAACGCACTTTCAGCTGCAGCTGGTTTACTTTGGTAGGCCTGAAATTGCAAGGAGCGAATGTGTGTAACTATCACATATCGTATTTTGTGATGCAGTACACCGTCCTCTTACATTCCTTGGATATCTAATACTGTAGCTCCCTGTATATATAAAAGTGGGACAGGGTTTCGCTAACACCTAGTCAAATTCAGTGATCCATTCATATAATTGTCACCCCTATTTTGCATTTTACGCAAGTGGAATCCATTTCTTCGGATGAAGACCCTGGTCATTCTCTGAATATCCATATGATATTGTCATGGACATCTTGGTCATTTGATGCACGTTAATATCACTGATAAAGGATGCGTGTACATAACGATTATCATTTTACCAAGAGATATATTTTCGTATTTCTGGAATAAATGATTGTTTAGAAAATATAGTCCTAACTATTGAAACTGTGCTGTAATTTATGACGTTTTACTGCCACAGCTACTGGGTACGTGTAAATAATAGCGTTCAATGCATAACTTATTGTTGTAATCATATAGCATTGAATATATATACATGTCAGACATGTGCTAGCGATGAATTATAGAATATGCATTACTTGACTGCACCTCCCGGGAACATTTAGGTTAGAATTGGTCTTCAGGAACCCATGCGACTAACGGGCTCTTTGACTTGGTGGGTGCATGGCATCGTATCCCAATTGCGTCGATGCTTATGATGTTAGTCATTGGAGTGTCTAGTCCAGACTCATTTTTTACCGACCATCCGCATATATGAGTGAGTGAGTGAGTGAGTGAGTGAGTGAGTGAGTGAGTGAGTGAGTGAGTGATTTGGGTTTAACGCCGAGTTTAACATTATTCCAGTTATATAACGGCGTGTCAGCTTAATGTGTGAGGAAAGTGAGGCAGGTCTCAGACGTTTACCACTTCGGTGAAACCCACGAGCACGGGTATGGTGCTGACAAACCTAGAAACATAATCGGGGCGAACCGGGATTCGAACCCACAATCATAGGTTTCTGGCGAGCCCAAGGGACACAACTCTGCACAGCGAATCATGGCGCCTTAGACGACTGGGCCACCCGTGCCCGCTCCGCATATATAGATGGAATATTGCTGACTGCGGCCTTAAACAAACAACAACAAAACATTTGAGTGTACTGCATCGCGAATGATGAAGAATACTTTACAGTCAATCATGATCTCCCGTCACTCTGATTTACTGTATTTTTATAATTACAATTAAAATGTTAACTTTGCTCCACATATTGTTTCACGGCAAACTCCAGTGCTCTACGCTACAGAAAAACAAAACAGTATTATGCATGTAGTTTGAAAGAATTTTATTCCTGTTCACAATGGACTTGCGCATTGTCAAATATTTGTCTCAGACAGAATTATTTGAAATCGCAAAAGACCCTTTCTCCATCGACGAACCATCTCTCGAGACACTCGGAGTCATTATCCCAGCAGTCTAGGCTGTAGAAAGATGTAATCGAAATTCACGTTGGCATGAACAACTAATAATTTCATAACGACATAGTGAAAATTGGGCTAAATAGTCATGCACATCTGAAGTTCCCAAATATGAAAAGTGGAGTTCTTTAGGTTTGGTGTCCGATATTGAAAAGTTGAGTTCTTTAGGTTTGGTGTCGGATATTCACAAAGAGATCTTAATACAATCAAAACGTTCAAAACCGATACTTAAAGTGAGGCTTATTAAAGTGATATATGGTCAGTTTCAAAAGAATCAGTTCCGAAAAGATGAGGTTATCACAAATACGTTCACTGAACTTTAATTGTGCCGGAAGTATCAGATTGATTCAGAGTGTTTCAGATTGTGTATGAAGTATGTGTCCGTGTCTTAAAGCTACAATACCACACGTTAGTCAGGACAGGAAAAGAGCTGATCATGATAATAGCCCATTAGACACATTCCATCTCCAAAGTGATTTAATCAACTGCCGTATCTTTGAAACATTTTCATAAAGAACGCAAAAAAACATGTATGATAAAGCAGTACTTTCACACAACTTGTAAATATTTCAAAGCAAACCTTCGGTGAGAAAAACCAAAACAGTGTTCGGAAATATAAAATATGATTATGGTAAGAAAAAAGTAGGGAGTCTGTCCGGACCCAATCATCACGGAAGAGGAAAGATGCAATCGACAGTCAAACAATTGACAGTCGACAATCGACTGCTCTCCATCTGCCCCAGTTGACAAGGAGAACCTTGGTTCTCGCGTAACGTAACGGTCAGGTGAGGTGAATTGGGTTTGACGTCGCGTTTATGAATATTTCGCTTATGTAGCGACGTACATGCACCTCTGTGTATGTGGCATCTCGTACTAGTCCTGACTGATGCTGGTTTTATAGCGTTAGCCCACTGAGATACCAAGCCAAGGATACCCGACTCAGCTACATTATATTGATTCCGAACCAACCTCTGTTGTATTTATTTATTTATTTATTATTTGTTTATTTCTTTTAATATTTGCAGATAAATAGCCACGATTCATATGGCCACTACATCCCCACGTGACCAGTGGGTGGTGGGACATTTTGAATCATTTGAAGGAGATGCAGGCGATAGTATACAGTATAAAAAGATAAGATCAGATAGGTAAGATAAATGAGAAAGTTGATAGGAGATGGGGAGATAGATACAGAAGTATTTTTATGTTACTAATTATGCAGCAATACCAGACCAAAGTAGACACAATTTATGGATAACGATTTCTTTAATACTGTAAAGGCGACGTTTCGGTATAGATACCAGACCATTTGTTTTGCAATGATGCGTTATTGCACCCATGTATGAATTTTTCAATGTAATTATATTTTTATGTTACTAAATATGCAGCAATTTAATATACCAGACCAAAGTAGCCACAATTTATGGATAACTACCATTTGTTTTGAAATGATGAGTTATCGCACCCATGTATGCTTTTTTCAATTTTATAACATGGTTTGATCATTTCACTTATGTTTTATCGTCGTTGTGAGTACATGTTGATTTGCACCAAAGTCAACAAAAACTGTACCTGTAAATAATCGAGTTGGACAAACCAGTGATTGAAAGCATGAGCAGCACCCGACGCAATCGGGGCACGGCAACACGCAGTCACACCACCCGATCCCCAATTTAGTCGCTTCATACGACAAGCATGACGTACTACGGGAGTGATTGTGACCCCGAATCGCCACCACGGGTATTCACCAGGGAAACCATGTTATGTTGTGATTACGACAAGCATGGGTTGCTGAAGACCAATTTCAAACCAGATCTTCATACAAGAGTATACTACGGAAGGAGAAAGGAATACACAGAACTACCCACGAGTCAATATCTGGCTAAAGCGTACGAGGGGAAGGGGGGGGGGGGGTTCGGTCCCCGGCTGTGTCATACCAAAAGACGTTAAAAGATGATACTTGTTGTTACCCTGTCCGGCGCTCGGCATAAATGGGCTAAAACAAGGACTGGTCGTCTCGGAGTCACTTTACTGTGTCTAAGTGGGGTATTCATGTTAAACTGCGGCATGGTATCTCAGTGGGCTAGCACTATAAATCGGCATCAGTCCGGACTGGTACAAGCAGCCACACAAACACACACACGTACATGCACGTCGCTATATAAGTGCAATAATCTCGGACGCGAAGTTAAACCCCATTTCACCTCACCTCACCTCAAAGGCGAAAAGAGAGGGGAATAGTGGAACATAGCCTGCAAGGGACGTCAAGCTGAATGGTCGGGGCGATATTGAGGGTAGGGAACAACGTTGACTGCCCGTGAAATTCTGCTGAAAAGGAGAGATGAAAGGAGAAGGGCTGAAATAGTGGTTCCGGCAAGTGGCTGAATGGCGAGAGGTGATTGTGAAGGGTAGACATTAAGGTTACCTGCAAATGGCGTTGGCATGAAGTTGGCAGATGGACGATGGGTCACAAGCGGACCTGGACGTGATCACCGGCTCTGTTGTCAGGGCAATGCCCAACACGCCTGAAAAACAATTGTGGACATAAAACCCAGAGAAACAATACAAATGTGTCAATTAGCGTTAGCGTTTCTTAGGTAGTTCACATACATTTGATATTTTCTTCGAGTTAGTCTCTTGGTCACAGAAGCGTCTTGCACATTATGTGAAATGTTACATTATAAATACGATATGAAACTTATCACACAGGCGTAACATTCTGTGTGGTGATGCTACTTAAATCACGTTCAATATTCATGTGTGCCCTTTGTAAAGGTCAAAGCAACAGAAACATATTGAGCAATATTTTCCTGCATGATCAAGCAGATGACGGCAAACTGCATACATGTATGGTCGAAGCAGTGTAATTAAGAACAGTGAAAATATTACTTACTTGCAATGACGAGACAGAGGATAATTCCTTTCATGTTGCCGTCAACACTCTGTCAATAATAGACATTGTAACTGAACATAGCACAGTATATATACCTTACTTCCGAATGCGTCGTGCAGATAAAGTGGCCGTTAAATCTTCAAGTGTGTTTTGCCAGCTCGTGCCTATCACAGGTAACGATGACTGTCAATGAAAATGTGCTTCATACCTAATATACTGTTTACATGTTGGAACAGAATTGCAATTTTAATCACGATTCGCTCGTAAAAATATTTTCGCCTTAAAACCGTGAATTTTGTGGTCACATTACCCGGTACTTCCCATAATATATACTTCGCGAGTGCCTTCAAAGCGAGTAATGTCATTTTACAGATCTAAGTCCTGAGTTTATATTTAAATGTTTAGTGCCATAAAACTCGCTTGGGGATGACGACCACATCTCCGTGAACACTTATGAAGGGCGTCTATTTTTTATCAGTCTTTCTTAATTTCTAATGACAGCAAAGAGTGTTATAGTGATATAGTACGTATTTAAATTTCACTACAATGATCTTTTTATCGACATGTATGTATGGGACAACTTATCTATCCCGGTTTTGCTTAAGGCATATGAAATGAAATAACGTTAATGATTGATTCAGAACTTTTTTATAAAGTCAGTTAATTATTGTCAGTTAATAGAGCATTTAAGCCGTAGATGCATGTCATTGAGCTGTTGAAATTGTGGAAATGATTTCTTAAAGGTCACGGAAAGATAACAGTAAAGCAGACTGAACATTCACTGGTATGAGACCGTCACCGTAGTGAAGTTGATCGAGCGTCTGCCCGGAGAGTGAGTGAGTTAACATTTAACGTCGCACCGGAATTATTTCAGCCATATTGCGACCGGGGGCACGGGCTGCCCGGAGACCGGAAGGTCAGTAGTTCGAATCCCTCTCCGCGTCCTACCAAGAGACGTTAAAATTTGGCGCTTTTTGTTCGCCTGTATGGTACTCGGGATTAAAGGGGATAAAATAAGCACTGATCAGCTTGGAGTCAGTTTACTGTGTCTGAATGGGGTATCCATGTTAAACTACGGCATGGGCTAGCACCATAAAACGCGATTAGTCTGGACTAGTACAGGCAGCTACAAGCACACGCACGCACACACACGCGCGCACGCACGCACGCACGCACGCACACACACACACAATCCTCGTCCCTATATAAGTGCAATATAACCCTAGCGCGATCTAAAATTCCATTCCCCTCGTCTCACTGGTATGACATGCCATCGTGCCCTATATATTTGATTGTGTATGTGTTCCAGACTAAACTGAGGATCCCGACATTGCATATAACCTGTGGAAAATAGTTAAGCAAACTGCAAAAACGTTTCAATTGTTGTTTCATTTAATATAACACGAGTGTTATGTGATTCGAGGACGTGATTTGAGGGCATGTAAATTGTACTATTACCATTCTGATGTGATTGCTGAATCAGAAAGTTCAATACCCTACATGTACCTTCGATCTAAGTATCGCCGTGAAGGGACGTTCTTACATGACCGGGGGCACGGGTTGCCCAGTCGTCTAAGGCGCCGCAATTCGCTGTGCAGAGTTGTGTCCCTTTGGCATGCCAGAAACCTATGATTGTGGGTTCATATCCCGGTTCGCCCCGATTACTGTTAAGGGCGGCGTTAAGCCCAACTCACTCACTCACTCTTACATGACCAAGTATTTTGTTGTCTTTCTCGAATGAATAGTCCACAACATTACAAACTGTGTATAGTATTTACATTGGAATTATTTGATATATTGGCTGACATTTATGGCATTATACTACAACAATAAAGTGTACGTGTACATTACAGTAATCTACGTTTATAACGAACACGCTTATAACGAACTGGCGGATATAACGAACTGTTTTTTTGGTCCGGCCATTTGCTGTTTGTATGCTGTATACATGTTTATAACGAACTACGGTTATAACGAACTAAAATTTGTGGTCCCTTTCAGTTCGTTATAACCGTAGTTTACTTTATAACGTTTTATGGATGATACCTTTTTCCATTTAGTACTGAATTTATTGACATGTGCTTGAAACGATATTTATCTTATGTACATGTGTTCTGAAAATATATTGGCTATACATCATATATGACGTGGAAATGCCTCTTGAAATGAACCGGTGAGTATGTATTCATTGAAAGCAATCCCTGCCTATATTATGAGTGAATGAGTATGGTTTTACGCCGCATTGAGCAACATTCCAGCGATTTCACGACAGTGGACAGAATGGGCTCCACACAGTGTACACCAGTGAGCCGGAATCGAAACCGGGCCTTCTGTATGACGAGCGACCGCTTTTACCACTGGGCTACCCTACCGCTCGTCACGTAGATTCATGTGTTATGGAAAGTTAAACATGTTTGGTCACAAATAATAATTCATGGCAAACAAACATTACTGAAAAACACCGAATAGCCTGGTTTGAAGAAAGTTTATTCTTGTTTACAATGAGCTTGCAAACTGTGAAATATATTTCTTCAATATATTTATTTCAATTCGCAGAAGACCCTGTCTCCATTGATGTACCATCTCTCAAGACACTCGGAGCCACCCTGGCCGTTATCCCAGCATTCCAGGCTGTAGAAATATATAAAGAAAGTTCATGTTATCTTTGTTTCCAATATTAATATAAATTGTCAATGCAAGGGAATAACCATTCTGGATTATCCACGAAAGAGATTAAATAATATAAAGAGCAAAACAGCTGTGAAAATTACATCAATGGACCACCGAAAACCAGTGATGACATCAGGGCCCACTTGCACAAAGCGATCTTAGTGCTAAGACTATTGTAAGCCTATGTTAAACTATGGGAGTTACGATCATCTTAGCGCTAAGATCGCTTTGTGCAAGTGGTCCCAGGTGCTCGCAAAAAGGGTAAGCACGTCCCGCCTCATGGGCAGCACCCGCCACAATTTTGCATAAAAAAATTAAGTAAACTACGTTAATAACGAACACGCTCATAACGATCGCGAACTGGCGGATATAACGAACTGTTTTTTGGGTCTGGCCATTTGCTGTATATATGTTTATAACGAACTACGGTTATAACGAACTAAAATTTGTGGTCCCTTTCAGTTCGTTATAACCGTAGTTTGCTGTCAATATATATTGCCTGACGCGGCACAGCAGTACTCCTGCCATACGACGGCTGCCTGTAAACAAAGTCGACAGTCCAGTGAAAATGCAATGGCACGAAAGTGCATTTGCTGATTTTGTTGAAACTCATAAATATTATAAACCGTGTGTTTGATAATCAATCAACATTTACAAAAGACCTTGTAAAACGTATACTGATTTCATGCAAATTCATGCAAAGTCCCCTTAGATAAAATTGAATTGTTTCCCTCTAGTGTCCAATACAGACAAAGAGAATAATATATAATTGGCACAACTGAAACGTTCAAAGGCAATACTTAAAGTTAGGCTTTGATAAGTGATATCTGATAAAAAATAAATTCCACAAATATGTCTTTATCGCAGGTATGTGATTGTGCACTAACATTTTATTTTCTTATCAAGTACCTGATTATAAGTAAATATAACACGCTGACGACACGAAAAGAACTGCTTAGATTACGGCCCCTCCGCGAAATAACATTTCCAAAGTGATCAAATTAACTTCATAGTTCTTTTCTCTTTTCATGACGAAAACAGTTCTTAAAATTGGTAATACTGAGTCCATTCATTTTCAGAATATAATATATCATCAACTAGCTCTACATACAAACTTACCAAAAACAACGATTCTTTCGGAGTGCAAAATGCTACATGACCAGGACTGCAATAATACAATTACTGGTATCAATGACCTTACATGAAATAACAAGGCTTTCTGTCCGGCCACAAGGGCTACGGAAGGGCAAGAGAGGTCAAGCAACCGACGGCCAACAGACAGTTATCTTGGCTTTCCAGCGCCCAAACTGACAACGACAACCTAGATTCGCAGCTCGTTCACTGACACTTCTACACATTAATACTGGCTTCATGACATCAACACCAGTACGAAAAACGGTATAGGAATAAAAAGACAGTGGTTCGATAGCTACATACATTTGGTCCAACCTGATTCTAACAGAGGCGTTCTAATTGCTTTGTTCGGTGTAACGGAAGCACGTACGGAAAGTGCAAAGAGATCTATCAAATTAGAAGCAGAAACGACTCAGCTACATGGTCGTATGGAGACAATAATTATACATTCGATTTCAGTGATTAAATGTTAATTAACAACATATTTTATTCGCTTCATACGACAGGCATGACATAGTGGGGACTAATTCTTACCCGGTATCTCCACGGGGATTCGACGGTAAACCACATCCCGTTGTGTATTACGGTATAACATTGTTAGCATGCATACAACTTTGGTTTGGTTTCTTATATCGATGATCTGATATCGTTCAATAACAATCAAATAGCCAATTCGCTTCCATTGATTTACCCAGCTGAACTAGAAATAAAGGAGACCAATGAGACACCACCTGTTTCATATGCATAAAGATTCAGGGTGACAAAACACTCCCCACTAGACTGTATGACAAGAGGAATGACTTCAACTTTCCAATAGTCAACTTTCCCTTCATTTCGAGCAATATTCCAGCAGTTCCAGCCTCTGGTGTTTACATTTCACAACTTTTGAGATACAATCGAGAATGCTCTTTCCACCGATATTTCAAAGAGCGTCATACGACTCTTGCTCAGAAGTTGTTTGATCAAGGTTACAACATTCAAGGCCTAAGTGAAGCTTTCAAAATATTTAATGGTTGACATGTGAAGGACATTTCCAAGTTTGACGTATCAGTGACAGGTGAACAATTGACTTGCCTTTGCATGCGTTTGTGACGGTGCCACCGGAGGGGCAGGATACGCTCACCTTTTCGCAAACACCTGGTATCACTACTATTTGATAGTGGTTCATAAACACATGTTCATGATATAGTCGGAAAATATAGTTGACTCTGCTTTATGCAGAGATTTCTATTGGATATGGAAAGGGTTTTGCCGCTTTATTTCACAATTCAGTTCTCCTAGCCATTCAAAAC